ATTCCCGTCGAAAGGCTGAATGTTCCTTTGCGGTAAGGCGGACTTCATATGACATTCTAAGAGCATGTACGTAAGTTGGGTTTGTTGTCGCTGCAGCTCTACCCAATCAACATCACTATCAGAATTTGTTCCACTTACTCGTACATCTTGCAAATGTTCTCGGTTCTTGCGTCCTTGCGTTGAACTCTCTTCTGAGCAATCTGCATTCTTGACTTTGTGACTTGTTTGGTTCCTATCACTTTCATGTGTTACATGAGCAAAGGTTGGTAATGCAGGTGGCTGGTGAAAAGCTACCGTATCGTCGAACTGCTGTAATGCTGCTGCTTGGGCTGTAGCTGCAGCTAATTCGGTCTCAACAGCAAGTTGCTCCTTTCTTCTAATTAAGTCCTGCTCTTCTTTCTCGAGCTCCTGTTTCCTTTTTAAACTCTTCAACTTTGCTTGCAATTCTGCTCTCTTCATGGCTGTTTCCATCAAAAATTTCCTGGAATGTGATGTTGATTTGCTTGATACTTGAGATACACTGTCATCTACTTCAACCCTCTCCATCGCTGAATGTTTTCCTGCGTTCATTGAAGGAGAGTCAAACAGTTGGTTGACTTCCATCCATGGGTCTCGATCATGCAGTAACGGGTCCATCCGAATACTAGTAGCTGGATCTTGTTCATCCTGCCCTTCCATGATGATCTGATCCACTGACACAACAATCCTAATGTGGGGCTGTATCCATGACGGCTGCTGTCAACCTAAGGCTGTCAAGTATGCATTTCATGTGCTTATTCTTCTAGGCCTATACCACATTCACTGTTGCAGGTTTTCCAGCCTCTTTCCATATTCTGCACCGCTTGTAACTCAGGCGATATCAGCTGCAGCTAACCGGCATATTTCTGATTTCCAAAAACTTCCTGAAATAGCTCCACTAGTATGTATGCCACTAGACTAGACCCTCTACTCTAGCCTTCTGTAATTAAGAGCAGTAGCCAGTAGACATATTCTCCATTCTTGGCTAATCTCTGACTGACATTTGTCCATTCAAATCAACCGTAACATCTGGCCTTCTGGGCATCTAAATATAATGTAGATCTAGTCTAACCTCTATACTAGACTGGAGTCTAGAAATCTAGTCTTAGTCACTGTAGATTCTACGTCTACATCTCAAGTAGATATTTCAGGATTCCAATTTCTTTATCCTTTTCAACAGATTCCTGAATGCTAACCAGTCTCTTTATTTAACATCGTTAGGCCTTCCTCTGGCTCTGTTAGCTTGTGAAACTAGAATTTTAACTTAGAATGTGGGTGCAAAATGACCTTGAAGTAGTCAGATAGTCTGTCTTTAGTTCTCCATTTTTAGACTAGGTCTGGAGGTCTAGGCTTAGACCTCGACATTAATTCTCTGACTGTATTCTGTCCAATCACGTCATTCTTTCGACTCAAAATACACCCACAAGGCACAAGTGATCATGCTCTATTCATAGACCTCTCTAGTCATATTCTCATTTATCAGACTGGTACTGCACTGGTCCCTTGTTGTTCACGATCACCTTTGACTGGCCAAGAATTACCCAAGTTCACCTTATTATAGTTTCAACGCTCCTCTCAGCTCCGTTCCGTCCTTTAATATCTCGCAATCTCACTATTCACACGTACATCGTCAATCCACGTACCGTACTGTAGAATTGCAATTGCAAGTGTAGAAATCAATTGTCGAATACCAATATAATGTCTCGAAAACTTTAATTTTGAAGCCTTTACTATAACCACATTTCACGTTACTCACGTCGGGTCGATCACAATGTTATTATACAATGATTGCATCCATTCCAATTGTTGTCCAAAACCAAACAAGATCATAAAACGGAAATATGAAGTAGGGAGAAGAGGTTAAAATTCTGTCTTGTTTCCAAGGGTTACTGCCAGTGATTATTCGCGCTTTTCCTCCCCTCAAACTTATTAAATTTTAAAACTGACAAGAGATGGCGCTCTTGCATTAGTTTGGCATCTACACGAGCATTAATTATTTGATGAACAACATCCCTTGTTTTTCCTATTAAAGAAGTCGAGTGAAAATTAAGTTGAACGTAAATCGAGTTGAGATTTGAATTAAAAGAAGATCTTATCTGAAATCGGAGTTGTTGTTCGGAAAACGTAACACATTAGAGAGAAAGAGAGAGAGAGAAAGAAAGAGAGAGAGACAGAGAGAGGCAGAGAGAGACAGAGAGAGACAGAGAGAGGCAGAGAGAGACAGAGAGAGACAGAGAGAGAGAGAGAGAGGAGATAGCATTGACATCGTTTCACGGAACTGTCATGAGTACAAGTTCGTCGACATCCAATTGAAATGTGTCTTAAAGGGGAAGTCCGACCGGATATTGAGTTGGTTTGAATAAAAACAGACAAATGAGAGAAACAGGTCAGTGAAAGTTTGAGCAAAAACCGATTAAAATAAGAAAGTTATGAATTTTTGAAGGTGGGATCAATCAAACACAAATTGACAACTATGTGACGTATCTTGCAAGCTCCCCTCCCATCTTTCCTGTACTAGAAACTTCATAAAATTACATTATTCCTTTAAAAATGTTCGATCGTATTCACTGTTCATAGATGATTTTAAAAATAATTAGCAATGTTCTAGGTGTAAACTTTTGTTTGACTCACACGGTATATAATGGAACATTTTTAAAGGAATAATGTAATTTTATGAAGTTTTTAGTACAGGAAAGATGGGAGGGGAGCTCGCAAGATACGTCACAGAGTTGTCAATTTGTGTTTGATTGATCCCACCTTCAAAAATTCATAACTTTCTTATTTTAATCGGTTTTTGCTCAAACTTTCACTGACCTGTTTCTCTCTTTTTTTTCTTCTTCAACAAACTCCTATAATATCAGGGTGGACTTCCCCTTTAATATTGATACACGCGACTCAGTTGGATATCAGCGAAATTATTGTGAGACGCTGCCCAGATGACCGTTCATTAGTGTGAGTAAAATCAGCAAGTCTCAAGTGAGAACATGTCCCTATAGGTTTCATGTAGTTGGTTGGACAACACGATTGATGGATAGCATTCACATCAAAAACTTCTTTGCGTATTAAAAGCTAATCAACCCCACTGCTTCTGTGGGGGAAAGGTTTATAATGGGGTATCTCACTGAGCGGCGAATGCTTGCGAACGTAGCAATGAGGGGTTACGCAAGGGTTCGTCAAAGGTTGCAAAAGGTTCGTAAAAGGTTGCAAGAGAGTTCGCAAACAGTTTTTCTTTGCGAATTTAGTTTTCCGCAAACAGTTGCAAGCGTTTGCAAAACAGTCGTAAGGCTTTGTAAAACGGTTGTAAAAGACGATGCCGAATCTCAAATTGGCAGTATGGTCAGTGGATTGTGACGTAGTCGCGGATAACTTGCCCGTGTGCGGTGTACAAAAATATCATACATTTCCGTTTTTCTCCTAAGTGCATTTTCCTTTGGGGTACTACTTAGAATATATTATGGATAACATGTCGTTACAGGCCCTCTAAAGAAAAATTACACTCATGAGTCGTACATTTTAGAAAATTGAATTTTTTTAGATATTTTGTGTGTCGGAACAAATGAGAAAGTTGTCCGTCACATCATCGTAGAGACAATACCGAATCACTATATTCAGTCTGACTATATACACACACATATATATATATATACTCTCTAAAAAAAATCGAGTGATCACGGACGTCACTCCTCTGGAGAGTGAAAATGTAGTGAAAATAGAGTGAACATTCACTCTTTTCTTCTTAAAGAGCACTCTAAAATCAATCGATTTTCACTCCTAAACAAGTGATCACGGACGTCACTCCCAATAAAGTGAAAATAGAGGGAAAATTCACTCTCTTTTTTTAAGAGAGTATATTTATAACTCTTGTTCTATAAACAGGACGTCTGTATATAACCCTACATGGACTGGACATCATAAAAACTGGTATAGTACCCTAACCCTAACTCTAGTACAGCATGTAGGGTTATATATATATATATATATATATATAAGACGAGGGGTGCGGGTCGATACAGGAATAATACCCCACCCGTAACATTCATCTTTACATATCAGTCCTCATTGGCTGTCCATCGGATTTATTTCGAGCGGATTTCACTCTGAATGGGATGGGGATTAAAGTCACCTCAAAGCATTAAAGGTACTATGTCCCTTTTGCAGCCAACCTAAAATGCTGTAGAACTTTGCAAGAATTATGAATATGTCATGTATGTCCTATCTGTGAAATTTAAACGTTAGCAGTGTCCTCATATTCAAATTATGCAAGGAAACCCGTTTACTTGCTAGACTTCACTGTCAGACACTATTGAGTGTGACCGACTGGCTTTTTTTTCTTCTTTGGTAATAACATACATGAAAAGAGTTGTAAAGGGTACATGAGCATTTGTCTACATCAATAACCCACTTCTTGTGATGGCCAAGATTAAACTGATTGAATCTTTGCGCAGCATAAAACGTATGACCATTCGGTACAATGGTCTGAAAATCAAGATTATTACTTTTGGGCTCTATAGCCCTAAAGTCGATATGACAACTAATAGTCATTATTTTCCCACTTGAAGACATTTTCAAGCCCCACCTTTTTTAGGGAAGTTCTAAATTAGTATTATCTTTCAAATGCAGTTGAAATATAACTTTTTCATTTTTTTGGCCTTCAAATGGGACATAGTACCTTTAAATGAAAATTACTTCAACGAGGACAAATGGGTCTAATCAATTCGACTAAATCCTCCCTATGATCTAGCTTAAACGATCAGGACGGCTCTCCTTATATATAGTTTACCCATCAAAGCGTATCAATCAATATCCAAGCTCCAAACTCTTGTTTCAAAGAATCACGTGATGTGTTCAAAGATACATGAACAGATTAGCCGATAGACTTTATGACCCCGACTACCAAAGGCGGTCCTCCTTTCATTGTTCTCTTGCACACTCATAAAACAAATTCAAGTTAAGGCAAATAAGATAAAAAGGAAGGAAGATTACCATACAATACCTTTAGGTTCCTGCTGTTTGATGGTGACAAAAGTTCAACATTGGTATCCCGGTCACACAGAGGAGCCGGATACCAGATCGAATACAGACCGAAAAATAAATAACGTTACGCACAATGGCCCAACATCGATCGGTTTGGAGTTGGGTTGGTAGTGTGACTGAGGGATCGGAACCGGGATAGTTGGGTTCAAACATTGGATACCACAAGGCACTGTTTCATGATCGACCGTTCTCTGCAGTCATTTTGTCACTGTTCCAGCTTCTGTCAAAAAGTTTATACTCAGAGTTTAAAGATGAATAGGGTAAGTGATTATTTCCTTCGCAAACTTTTTGTTTTATTACTCTCCTTTCGTTTCATATTTGGTTAGGGAGATTTTGCGCTTTGCTTTGATTATGACGTCGATATATTCATATTAATATCATTCTTTATAATTATCGTACATAATCACGCCTATTGTACGTGGCGTTATTTTGACATACTTTAACCCCGGTAGAGCAAAGATTATAGAAAAGCTGAGATAACGGTTACTTGACATGAAAGTAATGGCACTTGATTTTGTAAACATTGCCTTAATATCATTTAGGAAATAGATAAGAAAATATTTACAACGGAGCTATATGTGTACAGCACTGCATCGACTGACTAGTAACTCGGTATAAACAGGGTATTCTCGTTGTTCCTCTTCGGGGCAGATAACAGGAAATTGTGGTGTATCGTTTACAAAATAAAACATTACAGACTTATTAGTACATATATATTCTATGCATAAGAGTGTGTAGAAGTTACATCAAAGCCAGTGCCAGCTCAAGTTCTCTGTCCGCCATTTTTCTCACCTGGTATGTAGTTCCTTTGCTTATATAGCTCGTTTTGTTTGTTATCTGTTAAAATCTATGATCTTATAATGGTAATATTTCTTGCAATACTCTTACGAGACAAATACTTTTATGTAATTCTAACAACAATAATACTAGTATATCTCACATTTATAAAGCACATTCATTTACGCAAAATATGACATGATTTGTATCCCGTTTCTTTATCTCTCCTATATATTTTGTTCCTCTTTAGATCATGTTGAATTGGTTTATGCTCGTCGTCGGGCTCGTCTTCAGCGCGAGTGCGTTCCATAACCCACTCCATCACGAGCATCATGGTGATCATCGACGTAATCGTTTTGGCGTTGACCAGGTCGAGCTCCAAGACATAGTCTACGAGGTAAACTCCCTCCTTTTCCTTCTTAACTTTGTTATTAAAGGTAAAGACCAGTATTGGAAACGCCCCAATTTCAAAAAATAAAATGGAAGCTCTCATTACCAATCATGTGAAAGAATAGGTTTTGACTAATACATGATAATAAAAAAATTGCCGGGAAACCGCCTACTAATTCATATATTTGGTAAATTTGTTTCTCTCATGGTCTGTGAGAGATATAGGGTAGTCCCATATACATCTTTCTGTGTATAGTGCTTGTAACTTTACGAAGAATGGGCCAAATTTCTTATCATTTTGATGATTCCAGAACCTTGCAGATGCTAGATGCTAGATGATCAACCTTTTCTGATCGATTCCACAACGTTTCTTTCACAATGCAATCGCATTACCATAAGGTCTTTACCTTTAATGGGGAAAATATGAGTTTAATTCTGTCCTTTTTGTTCTTCATTGGTCTACTACTGATTAAATTTAAATTGAGAAGAGACCCTCGAGAAATTATGCAGTTTTCTCACAGAAAATCTATGGCAGCATAACAATTAGAATCTTTAATTCATGCTCTAAATACATATTTTGGTGGAGCAACGTGTAATTTGAAATAATGGTACATGTATTAGCTCTTTGTCACGTACTGTATATCGACACAGAACAATACATGATCATACTACCATGACAACGACCCCGTTTCGAAATTGCCCAGTTGCAATTAACCCCCGTATTTAACCTAAGTAACCTAAATAGTCAGTATAAATAAACATCATCTTCCTGATTTCTGTTCTGAATAATAATACTATTGATGATATGCAACCCCGCAACTATGCGATAATACCCTACATAATGTGAGACAAACTGAATCAGTTCAGCAATTCAAAACGGCTCTAAATACATACCGTATTTATTTGATTTAGTCATAATTTTTCTAGTAGTTAGTGACATTTCCTGCAGCTCTTCTATTTGATTTGCTTCTTTCTTACCCTTTTTTCATGTTTTCATTAAAATTGAGCCCTAAATCAAAGGTATGCATTTCAGCTTTCTCGTAAGAATGAAAGCCAAATCGGCTTCGAATTTTGCATTTTATGGTTCATAACCTAATCGGAACTGTAAGCAATCACACTACTGGTCTGAGGTCATTACGATTGCAAGTTGATTTAGCTTTCCCTCCTTCCTACATGGAAGTTTGCGAGATCCCGGAATTTTGCATTTCTTCGTTCATAATTATGACCATTCAGAGTTTCGATCGTTAAAATTTCGCATGTTTGACAAATTCGTATCAAATGCTATTGCTAATTCTTCCAAAATCTAGTCGTAGTCAGCTCGTATATTGTATGCGAATAGCCGTTCTTGTGCCAACAATGTGATATTCATTCATGAGAGATGATGGTGAGAGACATCGTTTGATGCACTAGGGGAGAGAAAGAGAGAGAGAGAGAGAGAGAGAAAGGAGGGGGACAGGGAGGGGCACATCCAGCAGGTGCCCCTTCATTTCTTTAAAACTCGAGTGAATACAAAAGAAAACAAAATGTGCCCCTGTTTATGTTTTTATCTTCCCTTTCCAAAAGTGATGTTGAAAATATGCTAACCTCTGTTATTGTAGCATTTGCTTGACCAAGTTTTTGGGCATTGCATCCAACCTCTTCAACACAACCCCATAATTGCCCAGCCCTATCATGTCTCAATTTGTCAATTCGTACTGAATTATGCTCATTCGGTATATGGCTACACTTAGCTTTTAATTAGGTTAAACCGTTTATCTGTCATGCCATAGATCGGTACTTAAGTTGTAGTAATTAGCGACGGGTAGTCATGAATATACATGTAGAGTCTGAAGTCCTGCAGATAAATCGGTTATTCAACTTTTATTTTGTTTGCAGACTCCCGGCGACCTTCCGGGGGCCCAGTATCAACTAGTCACAGGTAAATACAATAAATTGGATTTTGGTGCTATTTAGCTTAAATCATTTACTTCACTTCATTGTGCTTGTGGTGTTATTAGCCAGGTCAAATGTGTTATCTTCTCTTAAACTCATACCAAAATCCTTTTATTAGTGTTGTTGAGCAGTTTCGACTTTTAAACTTTGTTTCAGACCCCCCCCCCCCCCCGCCCCCAAACATTTCTAATGTAAACCCCCTTGACCAATTTTAAATTCGATAGTAAATTAGTAAGGGTTATTGTGAAATCTTGAAACTGTTAATTGGCCCCATTGTGCTCAATCAAATTCCTATCGTAAACAGTTGACAAAGGGGCATATGGAAGTATGGAAGTAAAACTTTTTAACAATTAAGGGCCCTTTATAAAGGGTATTTTCTATCGGAATTGTTGACACTTCATTTATATGTTCATTCAAGTAATTTAATGCTTGGCTTTGGCAGTGTATAACACACTAAAGCAGTAGTGATTTGATTTTGTTTAAAATGTATACAGGGGTCACCTCGTAGCTATTGAAAGATACAACTTTTGGCATGGTACATGGCCTATAAAAGTTGTCTTTATCCTGGAGTTTAATGGGATCCTTTGTATTGGGACACTTGCTGTAGCTGTATAATGGTCTTAAAACGTCAGTGTGAAGCTATATCATCATTTGCTTTTAATATACCAGAATCCAGGATTTTCTGGCGGGGGTGGGGGGGGGGGGTGGAAACGCCCCTTAATTTTGCGAGAAAGCAGGTGGTCATTTGTTTTTGTTTTTTGTTTTGTTTGTTTTTGTTTGTTTGTTTGTTTGTTTGTTTTTTGTTTGTTTTTTTTGTTTGTTGTTGTTGTTGTGTTGTTGTTTTTTTTTTTGGGGGGGGGTGTAGATAATAATCTGTCGTGTGGTAACATTGTGACTCACTCCCCCCCCCCCCGATCCCCCTTAATCCGTTTAAAAATTACATTTTAATTCCATTTTAATAATAACAGCATAATATCGAATCACGCCATTCGCTGAAATTTATTGGACCCGCACGTTCTACTCTTTTTGATCTTTACATCACCTCCCCTTCTATGCAAAGATATTCATGATATACCATGTAGTTGCTTGATTGACTGCTTGAATGAATTCCTTTGATGGAATCTATCATGACGTACATGTCTTGTTAAACCAATCCTTCCGCACAGAATGCAATGTGACGGGTGCGTGGTACAACAGCCTGGGTTCGGAACTCATCATCAACGTGGATAGAGAGACGGGTCACGTGGTTGGGGAATTCAGGACGGCAGTCGAGAGGCAACCTGGGGCTGCAGGTGAGTGTAGACATTAAGTCATGTCATAATGATTAATATACATATAATACACATCAGTGAGGGCAATAGTAATTTTACTAAATGCCTGAACAAAATGAAGTATATTATTTGTTTTATAAGATTAAGTTTTATTTGTTTAAATTTGTTTGTTGTTGTCATTATCCAAATTACGCGTTAGGCAAAACAAATGCCTGGTCACGTGTACGCTTTCAACTAATGATTAGGATCCACGTCGTCATCTTATAATGTAGTAGGCCTATATAGAGAGTCAGAGGGACGTTATCGCATAATTATTCAACACGGAATTAATGCCCTTCTGGCTATATCGACGAACGATCTACAGGTGGATACAATCGATAGACCTCATGTGAAAGGTCTCATATGGGCGTACGTCTATGATTTCAGAGCAATGAAGTTTGACAATAAAACAAAGCAAACGTTCATCATGAAAGAAAGAGAGAGATAGATAGAGAGAGAGAGAGAGAGAGAGGGATGGGGGGACGAGAGAGAGAGAGAGAGAGCTTTGTACTTCTTTGTTATAACTGCCATCGGTGAAGAAAAGGTTGTTATCTAACTGAGGAGGTGTGGAATAACCTATAAAGAAAAGACGAAAACAACAACAAAATTAAACAACAAATGAAAACATTTCGTGTCCTAAAGATAAACCACAACTTCCTGGACGTCCTGGTCTGAACTCGCTCATCAAAGCCTCCATCACTTTTTCCTCACCACATCTCCTCTTTCCGGATGAAAGACATGATGACCACTTGCGGATCTTCCTGGTGTTACCACACACTGCACTTCTCTCTCTGTCCCCCCCCCCCCCTCTCTCTCTCTCTCTTTCCATCTTTCTCTTTCCAAGATGAAAAAGTCGATTGAGGATGGAAAGTCATCGGCTATCAAAGGATGAGAGGGTGAGATAAGCGCCTACAAAAGAGACGGGAGAACATGAGTGGGGTCAATGAGTGAAGGAGGGTCTGGGAGTCAACCCCATTTCTATGGACTTACCCTTTCTTTCTCCATTCTCTCACAATAATTATGTTTATCTCGTTTTCCTAATGTTCTACATGTATATTGACTGGTAGATCGAGGCAAGCTCCCGCAACGCCCTCTATATAGTTACGCCAACGTTTCTAACAAATCCGATGCTGTTGACGATCATGCTAGAATTGTGACAGTCATGCATTTACTTATCACAACGAATTCTGTCTTATTATCCTTCCTACAGGATCTGGGCCTGGCCGTGTCTCTGGCTGGACATCAAAGGACGGAACCCACAAGGCCATCGCCTTCTCAGTCCTCTGGAGCAACGGCGCTTCTGCCACGGCCTGGACAGGACTCTGCCACGTGTGCCAGGGTCAGGAGATCATGAAGACCACATGGATCTTGACCAGTGAGGTGGACACCTGCGATGACCATTGGTCATCCAACAGGTTAGTTTGATGTTTAAGTAGTTTTATACCAGAGACAAGTACAAGTTTTTTTTAAAGAACGTGTATGGTTGAAAGTAAAATGAAAATCGGGTCACGGACACGTTGATAGTTCACAATACTTGTCATCATCCCGTTTTTTTTATTCATCACGCGTGTACCATCTAAATTGTCTATTGTTAATTCCTTTTCTTGAATGTATGAATTTGGAAATTACTGTAGGTCATTCGATACATAGGAAGGTTTGTAAAGCGCCATCTGGGTAGGAATCTGGTTGTTGATGTGAGTTTGAGACGCCACCATAGAATTCCTATATATTGTGGTTCGATGGCCACCACAGGTGATGAGAGCATTCAAAGATTATTCCTAACCATCACTACAAGATATCAAACTTATAATCCACATGGTGTTTTACTATTGCACTCTAATTACCTAAATCCGCAGATCAAAGACAACTGCTGGACTTTTGACAAATTCATTGTTATGATTTAGGATAATATTAAGCCATAAAAACCAAACATTATCTTGACAGCGGTTTATCTTAAGCTTAAAGGGATAGTTGAGTTCTGTTGCAGAGGGCGCTACACAAAATATTTTTTTGTGAGATAATGAAAAACTGACTGTCAAATTTGAAAGAACATACAATTTAAATGACAAAATCATCTTTGTTTGATCAAAATCGGTTCAGAGACGGCTGAAATATCCATAAATATAACGATTTCTAATATTTGTGTACCACCACAAATATTAGATAATTTGAAGCAGCCGTTGAAAGCCGTTGAAAAAACAAAGTAGCGCCTTCTACGCTGTATTTCAGCCAATGCCGATGTTGGCTTTTTTGTTGCCTTTTTCGTGTTGGTTATATTACGCACAATCAGCCGGCCCATGTATTGTTATTATTAATTAATAGAATAATTAACGGTCACCGTATTTTGGGGGAAAGAGGAGCTGAATTGCTATGATCGTATTGGCTAAATTTCACACATTTTGGGGTCTAAAATTACCTTCTTAGCAATTTTAGGTCCTAAAAGTTCACTAGAAATGTCATAGATAAGAATAAGAGCAATAACCATGCACTTTGAAGGCATTTGCGATCTGAAAACAGAACTCAACTAACCCTTTAAAACAGAAGTAAAAATTATAAACAATTCAATGATGAATTGTAATGCTTTCAATATAATTTTAATCATCATAACACATACTTTTGTGGCTTATCTATAAGTCTTCAACTAATTTCAACAATAGAATAAAGGTTTTTTTTTTTCTAATTTTCATTAATAACCCAACCCTTTAAAGAAATGGATTCATCTCATATATACAAATTATAACAGGAAATAAATAACCGAACTGATTTTCTTGACCAAGTGTAAATCAATGATCCGACACCTACTCTTATAACCCCGCCCAGCCCTGCTACCGACATGTTAAGGGTGTATATCTGCAAAGTTACATGATTAGGGCTGAGGTTGCGAGTGATTTTTACATACAATAGAGTTAGATGTGCTGTTGGGTGGAAGCTTGAAGGAAGGAATTCAAACACAGACTTTACAAACTTGATCGTGTAGCAAAAGTTGTTTGAGTACATGTCCTACTATAGTATACATCTCAATTACAGTCTGATAGAAGTCCTTTTTGATATTTTTTTTCTTTCTTTCAGGATCGGGCAGGATGATTTCACTCGCATGGAGAAGGCCCCGGGCCCCCGTCAACATATGGGCCTTGATACGCCTTCAGACTTAACTGAGGCAGCCGAGGCATTTAGAGAGGGCGTCCTCTCCCAGAATAGACAGGGCTATTAAATCCACCCCAGGTCATGTACGTCGTCATCGCTTTTTTTAGACGTTTAAACATCAGTGGCATATCCAAAGATTCTCTTGAAGGGGTTCCAGTCTGAAAGAGACATCCCTGGCTAATAAAGAGATGAATAATGATTACTGAAGATTTTTTAACCAAAACAAACAAATATATATATATATATATATATCACTCTTACAACTGTTTAGTTAACATAACTTGCTAGAGTGTTGGACCCATCGAGTGCCATAATCATCGAAAAAAAATCAAGTAATGTTCATGCAAGATATTCATAGGCAGCGAAGACAATAAATGAAGTCTACATTATCTCATATTTTTCATGTTTTACATTCTGAATTACGTATACTAAATAACGATAATCTGTCTGTAACAAAATTGAACCAAATCAAGAAATCTGCATATCTTTTTGTTTCACATAGCCTACTTAACGATGCACAATCATATCGAAATGACGTGTATTGGATATATTTACGTAGACATAGAGTCATCGAAAAACAAACATTAAACGAAAAATTATTATGATATAAAAAATGAAAACGAGGCTCGTGATTATATCTTCATTTGTCGTTTTTTTTTTTTTTTAAACGAAGCTTGTGTTTATATGTTTATTTGTCGTTTTTGTAATGGACTTAAAGTCGTCGGTCCACTGGTTGTTTACTTACAGACATATACATTCCGGTAAAATAATCACCAAACATTCAATTCAATAAGGCATTTCAAAAGAACCATCTATAAACGTGATTGCGGATACAGGTCTGTAAAAAGCAAGAATAAAGATAGTATAAAAACTAAGGGCCTGTGGCTTGTGTCCCTCGATTGAATGGTTGAAAAGGGGAAAGAAAAGAAGAGAGAGAGAGTGATTGAGAGAGATAGAGAGAAATGGGGGGGGGGGAGAGAGAGAGAGGGAGGGGTGAGATAGACAGAACAAAATAAACAGAGAGGGAGAGAGAGAGAGAGTGAGAGAGACAGGCAGATAGACATACAGCGAGAGACAAAATGGGGGAGAGGGGGAGGGAGAGAGATAGGGAGGAAGTGCACATGTTGAAATATGATTCGACCCTTCCCATACCACCCCCTATTAATCGATCTTGATTCTTTTTCGCAATTAACCCACCTCGTCAGGCAGCTGCCCCCTCCCCGCTGCCCCCACCCCAACCCCACAATAACATTAGGAGGCTCAATGACTACACCAGACAACTTCCCCTAGGGTAGTTGTCCCGGTGGTAGTTGTCCTAGAGGATAGTTGTCGTAGGGGGTAGTTGTCTGGGGGTAGTTGTCCGGGGGTAGTTTCCCGGGGGTAGTTGTCCTAGGGGGTAGTTGTCCTAGGGGGTAGTTGTCCGGGGGTATTTGTCCCGGAGGCTAGTTGTCCTAGAGGGTGGTTGCACTAGGGGTAGTTGCCCTAGGGGGTAGTTGACTGGGGTGGTTATCCGGGGGTGGGTGTTCAGGGGGTAGGTGTCCTAGAACCCTTTTGAGCATTTAAGTCTTTCAAGTCTTGGTTTGACACATTCTTTACGTGCACGGATGATAACTGGTATCCGTTGCTGGTCACAAAGCGTTTCTTGAATAGAATGATACTCTGTTTGCAAGGTAGAACACTGTATATTTCTTCTTCCTCTTCTTCTTCCTTGTCCTTTTGTCCCACGATGAGTTTTCCGTTAGCTAGCAATTTCCAAGTTCTGTTTGTATTCCATAAATCTTGGTCGATTCTCTATTTACTGGTTGTAGAAGCATCATATTAATTGTCTCAAATATAAGCTCGTCTTTGTTTGATGTTCATGCTGTTGTTGTTGTTGTTCATTTGCCAGGGGACGGACCTGGATTGGGGTTCACATCTCCACATACGAATAGAGCTAATAAGCGAGTTCGTAATTAGAATTTGCGCATGTGCAGATAAAGGTCATTCGTTCCCAAATTGTAAAACCATTGAGATGAATACTCGTATCGTGCTCATGAAAGTTATGTAATTAGTATTCATTTATGTACCGACGGTTCATTTATCTGATACACAGGTGGAAGTGTTCTTCTCAAGAGGGCAAACAAAAGGTATTCATGGAGCACCTCCATCCCTTCGACAGTGATTATTCTAAAATGCACAAGTGGGACGTATCCACAGTGTAAAAGATCTGTGGATATTTGGGGGTCATGCGTTCCGAAGCTATTTACGAACTGGCTTATTGAAATGTTGACGTAGTGTTTCCATAATACAGGATACGGAATCCAAAATACTTCATCACTTTTACGTTATGCTCATACCTGTAGGTGTAGTTTGACACAGAATCATTGATATGCTGCGTAGATATTGTACGTGAAGAATGGTGCCAATCACAAAGAGATGAGCACAAAAGGACGCACATAACAAAATATAGTCTTTTTAAAGCTTATCTGCCGTAGTTTATAGGAGGGATTAGACTGCCCTGCAAGGTCACTGGACAGGTGGTTATCTCATCAACTCAGCTCTCAGTTAACAGAAGAAAAAGAGGATCATGGGGGACCAATGGTCACCGATTAGGCATTGTTTGTTATATAGAGGGCGCAAGTAGCTACAAGTAGTGCAGTGTGCCTTTAAGTAGGCCAATCAATCAATGATTATGAATATACAAATTCAGAAAATAGTATCAATTCTTCAAATTTCATTAAAAAAATTGTGAAATGCCATGCACGCAATATGATACAAATCAAATAACCTGGGCAAAGGCATGGAGAAATCAAGTTTTGGAGGATAAAATGGGAAGTTAATAGAATAACAATATGCAATTGATAAATATTGAGGCAATGACGTCACAAACTGATAACCAAATTGGCAATTTGTGTAGTTATTTTCTAGTAAGTTCCATAGTTTTTCATACTTTAAAAAAAATCATAACTTCCTTATTAGTCATCTGACTTTTATACTCAAACTTGTTTTGCTCTGTTTCTCTTGTTTTTCTGCATCTATTAAAAGCAAGTTATTTTTGGAGTGGACTTAGCCTTTAAGAAATCGATCAGATAAGTTTTAGCTAATTGTTAATAATGGTCTATTTTCACTCAAACTTTTAGATTAGCTTAAAGTTATGATTTTTTTTAAAGTAGTAAAATATGCAGTTATACTTAAATAAGTGCAGTCTCAGTACAGTCTTTCGAGAAATTTCACCGAATAAGGGAGTTTACAGATAGCACATGGTACAAATGACCCCAAATATCCACAGATCTTTTACACATAGAGAAGTTCCACTTTGAGCATCTTAGAATAATAACTGCCAAAGTCCTAGATGTGCTTCATGAATACCTTTTGTTTGCCCTCTTGAAAAGAATACTTCCGCCTGCGTATCTTAGAATGTACTGTTGGTGCATAAATGAATAATGTTACATAACTTTCATGAGCGCATATCCAGTATTCATCTCTGGTGGGTTTTACCTTTTTGGTACAAATGACCTTTATCTGCCCATGCGCAGATTGTATCTGTAAACTCCCTTATTATGATAAAAAACATCACGCATCATGGATTACTGCGCATCACGCATCAACGACTATTACCTATTTGATGCCATGCCAAGCCGTCTCATTAACCCTCATTTACAGCTTAGAAGCCTCACCGTTCTTCCGTTATACATGGAGAGTACCATAGGTACGTATTATTCTTAACTAAATTGATCTATTCATCGTAAATATAGTGCGGCCATCGATTGATTGATAGACCTAATCCAAAATATATTGAGGAAAAGCTCAGTGAACAGTTGTTTACGTGTGTTTCAATTGGATGACTGATAATAAGCTTTCTTTACACTTGGGAAAAACAGAAAGCATTTCGTTTTGTTCTAAAAAGTAGTTCTAAAAAGTCATTTGAATTCAAAGTGACACACGATAATCAAGTAATCAAGAGAAAAGAATCAGTGAAGTATTTAGGCATTGAGTTGGCTAGCGTAATTTCATTTACATCTTTAGTAGAATCAGTTGTTAAAAAGGCAAATTCTCGTCTGAAATTTGTGTACAGATATCATATAGGTTGTATGGCTTTAGAAGCAAGACGTATACTCTGTTTTGCTCTTATTCAATGTATATTTGGCTTTGCTAACCCTGCATGGTATAGTAATATAAACAAGTCAGATCAAAAGAAGTTAACAATTATACAGAACAAATTGGTGAGATTCATCATCTGTTCTGGTCCAAGAACTCATGTTAGCTCCAGCGAACTTTCTAAAACTGGCTTTCTTGAAGTCAACCAAAAATCAAAACAACTAGTATTGCATCACGTGCATACAATATATCATACTAGGTCGAATCATTATATTCGATCCACCTTTGATCTTATTATGATTATAATACAAGAAATAGCTGATTCAAATTTAACTTACCAGAAAGTGTAGGTAGCATTGGAAATTCGTTTTTTATTACAATACCATAAAACAGTGGAATTCCCTTCCTCATGATATAATAATATGGATATTTATATAGCGCCGGTATCCGCCAGGCTCTGACGCTCATGGCGCTGTACATACATGTATTACTATCACAAAAATATAACATTCTTAACTAAAATAAAGTAAACTAAAACAACACAAATTATTACGCTACATTGACATGATTAAATAGCACTGTTTAGAAAGAGATGGGTTTTTAGAGCAACTTTGAAGGCATGAAGGGTAGTTAAATTACGAATACTAAGTGGCAGCTTATTCCAAAGGGACGGACCAGAATGAGAAAAAGCTCTATCCCCCCAGGAACTGCGCGTCTTAGGGACAACTAATAAGGAGGATTGAGATGAACGAAGACGTCTTGTAGGCTTATACTTAACAATCAACTTGATATTGTAGGAAGGAGCAGAGTCATACAATGAATGGAAAACTAACAACAACAACTTAAAAATGATTCGGTCACATACCGGGAGCCAGTGAAGAGTTTTGAGAATGGGGGTGATGTGGGTTCTACGAGAAGAAAGTGTGACAATACGTGCAGCAGTATTTTGCAGTTTCTGAAGTCGAGAAAGTTGTGTGTTAGGGAGTAGATAGAGAATAGAATTACAGAAATCTAAGGAAATAGAAAGCTTTGTTCATTTTGAAGAGGAAATTAAAGGAATACCTAACACTTGAGAGTCAGAGAAGAGAAGCGAATGACATGTTATATGATTGAAATTTTTATTCTTCTGCCGGTTCATACTTTTTAATTTTGAATATACTTATTTTTGTGTACGTTATAGAAATTCTACATTATTCATCATTATTTTCCTCTTCTTCTTCCTCCTCCCATCCTCCTCCTCCTCCTTTTCTTCTTCTCTTTCTTCTTTTTCTTTTTGTTAGTATTATCATTTCTATCATTAGTTTACTGTTGTTATTATTATTATTATTATTATTATTATTATTATTATTATTATTATCATCATTACTATCTTTAATAAGTTTTTTTTTCTTATTTGCCTGTAAATATTACTATTTTAAGTTATTCATTTGGTACTTGTCTGTCGGGGACCCCACTGTAGATAAGCTCTCGATCTTTCGTGGGTTTTCCTATTCAAGCTGACTTAATTTTTATCTGTTAATCTTGTTAATTGTTGTATGGTAAAAGCTTGACGAAAAGTCAATCAATTAATCAATCGATGCGCCATATAGAGTGTATTTACGTGTATAAGATGTGTTGGTACACTTTTTAATTATTATTTTTTGTAACTCAAGAATGAAAGGTGGATTGGTTTAAAGGTAAAGACCAGTTATGGTCATGCGATTGCATTGTGAAAGAAACGTTGTGGAATCGATCAGAAAAGGTTGATCATCTAGCATCTAGCATCTGCAAGGTTCTGGAATCATCAAAATGATAAGAAATTTGGCCCATTCTTCGTAAAGTTACAAGCACTATACACAGAAAGATGTATATGGGACTACCCTATATCTCTCACAGACCATGAGAGAAACAAATTTACCAAATATATGAATTAGTAGGCGGTTTCCCGGAAATTTTTTTATCATCATGTATTAGTCAAAACATATTCTTTCACATGATTGGTAATGAGAGCTTCCATTTCATTTTTTGAAATTGGGGCGTTTCCAATACTGGTCTTTACCTTTAACTAGGGCCTTTGTTAGATACTATATAGATGTAAGGTTTGATATGACACATTTTTCAAGAAATCTACATCGGGACAAATTGTCACATACTTCAAAACTTAATGACTAGGTTATTGCCTGTATTTACGTGTATTATGTATAAGATGTTAAATGTGAGTTGAGCAATTCTTTGACTGAAGAGACTGGGAGTTCTAGTCGGACTAAAGAGGTCCGGTCACATATCTGTTCTCTGGCTATAGAGCGTGTCTTGTGCATGAATATATTGTACATGGAGATCAACTGATAAGGCTTTCTATAGATTCGTGTTTGTACTTTAAAAATGATTCCGATGTAACTTAGTTTTCCTGAAATCAGGTTAAATTGATTGTTTCCAGTATACTTCACGTATCTTCATTCCATGTCTGCTGTTGTGTAGAGTTTCACACCGGTATACACGACTCTTGGTGAACGCCGAATATAATGGTCGTTTTGCAAGAGAGAAAAGGTAAATAGTCCAGTTCTAAATGCATTACTCTTGGAAAAGCGTACCGTCACAATGAAAGAAGTATAAATTACTCGATAATCATGTGCTCAATGGTCAAATATCTATCATTTCTAGACAGACAGACAGACAGCTCACACAGCTCTCTAATTTGTCTTACTTTTCTGTTATGTCCTGTTCAGCATATGTTTTGTGATTGCTACTAGACTGTTATTTGAGTTATACTGACTCAGGAGGGCACATTTGATTTGGATCACTTCTGCCAGTAAGTGATAATTTGAGTTCACTTTTTGGGGAGGAATGCTCCAAGCTCAACAAGGTGGAAGCCATATTGTTACACACAACAGTTTTGGGGTCATCCATCTGTGAACTGACCACTGCTCTTCAATCGAATGTTAGCCTTCATCCTGAATAGAAGAGATTTTGATAGCTCTACTATATTTCAAGACTGCACAATAAAGTCTTTTCATCCACAATCTTTTGTGAAAGTACACTACCTGGGAATTACTGGAATCCATTACTACCCTTATTTTGAATTCAAATTTGTACACCACAATGTGTTGATATCCATCCAAATCCTGGACCCGACACTTTCAGTAACAAGAAACACCTGCGATGTGCTCAACTGAATGCACGAAGCCTTGGTAACAAACAACTTGCAATTTAAACTCAGATGTCTGTTGACAATATAGATATTATAATTACTGAAACATGTCTCAGCGATGCCATCTTTGATGGTGAACGTCTCGATCAGTCCCATTACAACGTCTTTAGAAAGGACCGTAACAGAATTGGTGGTGGGGTCTTGTTTGCGTGCAAACGTAACATTAATGCAAATCGGAGATTGGACCTTGAAGGTGCAATTGAATGTAAACAATGCAAATCATTTTGTGTGCAGATCAATTTACCTAACGAAGAAAAGATTCTCTTAGGCACGTGCTACAGACCTCCTTCATTAAATCATTACTTTACGACAGAGCTTACTACATCCATCAACCCTATCCTTCCAGTTATACATCATTTTAAAACAATATTCCTCTTAGGAGATTTCAATTTAAAACTAAAATACACAAGTCATGATGAGCTCATATCCCATCTCCCTGAAAAGAAGACATCAGATGTACTTGATCTTACTAACAATCTCGGTCTAAAGTTATTGGTCTCGATCATTCCCGACTCGCATTGGATCCAATGGAAGGCATTCTATGCTGGATCTGGTGTTCTGCAATGAGCCGGATATCGTCAAACACCTTTGCAGTGGTCCAGGTCTTGCCAGTAGTTATCATTCTCAATACTCTTTGATCTTGACGTCCATCATAATCATCAGGAACTCTCTCGTTATTTTCATCAGTTTCCCAAAGCTGATCGATACGATGTACGGAAAACCCTATAATGTATACTGTGGGATTAATAAGGTTATTGCAAAGAAAAGGACTGAAAATGATAATACAGATCTATGGAATAAATATGTAGAAGTCCGTACTCTTGTGAACAAACAAAAAAGGATTTCCTATAATGATTATATCTCAATATCTCCCTCAATTCTAACGCCAAACTATTTTGGTCGTTTGTAAAAGCTAAAGAGGCAACCTCAATGCTTTCAACGTTTAAACTTGATAACAATCATTATGATGATCCTGGAAATATTGCTATAATAAATTATGTGTTTAATCAATATTTCTGCTCGAACTTTTCAGCATCTACAATTGATACAATGTCTAACAGTCTATTTATTGGGGGCTGTTAGGGCTAAATAGGGGTTGTTTGGTGCAGATTCTAAAAGCACCAAATTGGGCCCAGAGGTAGATTATACCATACTTTTATGATTTCTGCCGGACGCCAAGAAGGGCGCCCTCTGGGTATGCCATATTGGGCAAATCCAAAATGGTCGCCATCTGAGTTAAAGGTCAAGCGTAGTTCCAAAAGGAATAGCGCTTGTATGATAATAGTTTATATATTTATGGGGTTTGGGGGGGGGGTCAGAGAATCTGATTATGATGTTCTTTCATCGATTTGAGGTCTCCTTGGGGCTGCCATAATGGTCATATTGTTCAAATCCAAAATGACCGCCATCTGATAGTTACAGGT